TTCTCTGGCTCTGATGGCGATGAAGTGGTGGGTCGCGGTCTTGCCGAAGAATGACGATCGATGCTTTGGTGGCACTGTCTTGGAAAACTGTCGTCAAAATTTGTTTTGTGGAATGAAATCGCTGGAGAGGGGAAAGCTTCCAAAAGGGCAGACGCAGAGTCTGATTTCGAGATATCTTGACACGTCACCTTCGGATGGGTGGGTGTGGAGGTGTCAGTCAAGTGCCAGGGGCTACTGGCATCACAACGAAGAGATACTTCTAAGGTTTTGCTCGACAAGAACGACTCCAGCGGTACAAATTTGCTATTTCTGCTCTTGCGGTGTCTAGTCGCCTTGTTTGACGTCGAGGATGACTTGATCGAAATGCTTTCCAAGCTGGCCACTGTCACCAATCGTTGACAGACTGTAGGAGGTTCTTTCGATGTAGCGATCAACGGTGTGGGTTCATTTTTGATTTCTTTTGTTGGTCTCTTTGCACTTCTCTTTTTCTTGCCAGGCTTCTCCACCACTTCTACTGATAATGATTTTTCCTCTAGATTTAAATCCTGTACAGGCGGTAGCATCAGATCATAAAGCAATTCCATGCGATCTCGCCCAACGGAGTCTAACACAGCGTCCCAATTGTATTGCATGTACTCAACACAGTAGCGTGACAATCGAACTGCAGCATAGCGTTCAGCATGATGCCATACTGATGCACAATTCATTATGTCCACATATGCTGCAATTTTACTCTCCACCAAAGTTACTAAAGAGGGCACCACGCCCTGGCAACATGATGTATCATCTGTGATAGTGCTAAATTCGGGATGCAGGGGTGCAACAAGCACTGCCATGTGTTGATGGCCTGCAGCTACTGCAACAGCCTTTTTCACACCTTTAACACGCTTTGGTTTTGGCTGCCACGTATTATCACGTCCATGACCCAATACACCTTGTTGGCCACAGCCCCATGTCACAAGATCACCTTGCTGCGTAACAACGGCACAGTGATCCTGAAAAGCACACACACTTGTCACAGGTCCGTAAGTAGCAAGCAATACTTTCTGAGGTGCACTAGGTGACGGTATCGGTGGCACACCATTCCTTGACAAATGAGCACATTTGTTTCGAGAAATGTTGCTTGATTGGTGTGAAAGTGCTGGCGCATTGTGCCCCCAAGTGAAAACAGAGCCACAAGCACTTAATGCAATGGAATGGTTTTGAGCGCACGACACATCCAAAATGTCTAAATCGCGCTGCTTACAAGTGGGAATCCATGTGTCGCACATGACAGAACCGGTTACAATTGTCGAGACGGCAGATGTAATATTCACACGACTAGGACGATAGGAGCCGTAGCCGAATTGCCAAACTTGACCTAGACTGCGGCCATTATGAGCGCAGCGTAGAACCACTATAGTATGCCAATCCGACAGCGCTATCTTCTCCGCACGGATAGAATCATAGTCACCGTAAACAACGCACATCGAGTGTCGCAAACAGAGTGCATCAACACTTCGAGGAGTTGCGTCAGTCTGATCTGTTCCGCACCTCTCCTTTCGCCCTAGTTGACCCCGTCGATTACTGCCCCAGGTGTACAATGCACCATCATTAGCATCGATTGCAGCAGAATGGCATCCAGACGCTGCGATCTCAGCCACAACCTGGTAACGAAGAGCATCAACACGCTTCGGTGTGAGACGACTATGTATCAAAGTGTTTTTTTCAGAGTATCCAAGTTGTCTGAAGCTATTTGATCCCCATGAGAAAACTTGGCCAGTTCGAGAAAGCGCCATCGTATGATTCTCACCCGCGGCCACTTTTTTTATAGGTGTGGTCTCTAGTGATGTTAGACGTGTAGGCTCAATACAGCTGTGAATATATAAGAGTAAAGTTTCGTGTCAAGTGTGGTGAAAAGTGAGCTTTGGTGTATGAATGCTCACTCAAATTCGTTTCCAGTACCAAGGCGACCACCTTTACCAAATCCCCAAACAAAGCATTCGCCTGCTGCATTGAGTGCAATGGTGTGATACTTGCTGGCGCTAACTTGAGTTATTGGTGAGCTAGCAGGAATGTTTACGAGTCGTGGAGTCACTTGCATATCTGCATTTGGTAAGTGGTATCCCAGCTGACAGACACAGAAACAAAAACGTTTAGAAAAGAGTGAGTGAAGTAATTAAATAAAAGGATCTTGTTACCTGATAGTCTCGCTTTCCAAAAGTATACACAAGACCGCCATTATGCGAATTTGCTGTGTTTGACACATGCTTGCTTTCCCGCTGTAGTCTTGTCGAAAGTAGTTGCAACGGACTCTGCTGCGAATGATCTATTGTTTCGTACAGATACTTTCGCAAAAATTTCCTCCCAAAGCGCATCTGGGCATGACGCAGAAGCAACAAAGATGCTTTGATCAAAACAGCAAGAAGTCAGCACACTTTATAATAAGCCTTGCATTAGTCAACACTTACTCGATAGATGTTGGTGGTACAAACTACGGTGCAGTGGCGTCCAGCCAGATTCCTACGAATGCCAAAATCAAGTCAGTTATCCATCTCTTTGTCACATCACAAATTTAAGACGCACCCAATCTGCTCCCATTATGTCGGCTCCATATTGAAGAAGAAGTATGACTGCTTTATCGTTTCCGTGTGATGCTGCCACATGCAGTGCTGTCTCACCATAATCATTGCGATCATCTGGAGGTGCTTCGTCTCGCAGCAGGCGTGCTAAAATTGGTGTAGCCTCAGATGATCGAGCGCAAGTCCAAAGATTCGGCACATCGTCGTGTGAGTTTTTACTCATTCTAGATCTCTACAGTTACCATATTAAAAGCTTGTATCACTGGAATATATAGTTACAATTAGCAGTATTAAATTTGAGGGCCTTCGTTGAAAAGTAACTTGAATGGGAATACTAAATTGAAGTGTTGTATGTTCCGAGAAGGTTAGATTTTCAGTGTAGTAGGATGAGAATTCAAAAATTGTTCTGGATGCTATGTTATTTATTTGGAACAAAAGCTTTGCTTCTATCCACGATTCTGTTATTACAATCGGCACGTTGATTTCGCTTGAATTCTTGAACTTGCCGTGATTTGACAATTTCGATACGTTCATCCAGCAACCGACTTAAGATACTGAGAAATAAGTTTTCATCCTGGACGTCATCATCGAGAGCGTCATTTAGAATTTCAAAGTCATTCTTATCATCCTCTACGCTGATAAATGAAGATATAGGGGATCGGGAACTTGCCGACGTTTCATGGTCATTGGATAATGCTTCAATCGGCGAAGCAATTGATTTTGTATATCCACCACTTGCGTGATGGGCAGCGTCAGAGAGAGCGGTCAATGCCATTTCGTCCCAATTGCGCAAAGTTCGCGGTGGATTCATTTCAAAATGCTTTTCTCTATCGCCGGATCCTGAATAATTGTCAAGAGGGGTTGTCTTGTCTTTTTTTCGTTTTTCTGAACTAAATGGAGCAAAGCTAGCCCAAAACCCAGGTGGAGATTGAGCTCCACTAGCACTAGGGGACTGCTCAAAACAATACGCTTCACTGCAACAGGAGGGGTCAATTGATACTTGTAAATTTCGAAACGGCACTCGATTTGAGGACAAATTTGTGAACGGAACAGGTCGTTGATCCTCAGTCGCAGCAACGGACTCGCTTGCCTTCCCGGCAAGCGCATTTGGTGGCGGTATATGGATGTTGTAAAATAGAGCGTCGTTTTGCTTGCGCTGCTTGACTACCTGCAGTTGGTGAAATGCTTCAATGCATAGCTGCTCTAAAGTGGAAGGCGCGTCCAGATCTTCACGACACATGAAACGAGCAATTTCAAATAATTTGAGATCGGCACGGATACTTCTCTGCACCACCATACTAGCGATAATCATGTTGCGTCTACAAGCACGCCGCAATGGAATTTGTTCAGCCAAGCGATCTGCATCTTCTTGGGCTGATAGTGATAGCACATAAGCCCGATCCTCAGAACTTAAAGGTATTTGGAGTTGCGGCCAGTTATACCAGCACCAATCACACCACCCAATCTCCAAAAAATGTGGTAAACAGTACCCATGGTCAATCGGTATCAATTCGTACTCTGCGTGATCTTTGGTAGGTGACCGTCGTTTACGCACGAGAATATTTGCATCGTTGCGGTCTGTGTTTAGTAGCCGCATATCCAAAAGCACAATTTTATGAACTTGATGTGTTGGAAATTGGTTCGGTGCAAGATCACTAACCACATCGTCGTGTCGTACAAATTCTTGAAACGATCCAATTTTAAAATACAAAGCGCCTGCGCTGCTCGAATAATTGAATACCGGATGCCGTGACTCAACAAGGGATGTCGCGGGAACTCCAGCAAAGTGATCCTAATACCACAAAAACCGCATCAGAATTCTACCAAATACCATTAAACATATTGGTAGTTTTGCCACGATCAACTATCGCACAATCTTCAGTTTATCTGACCTTGTCCAGTATATAGGCGGCGAGTTCACGCTCACAGGCTTCTCCAGAAAGAATCCCTCGACGAAGTCCACTCTGTCGGTTAAATTTGTTGTCGTAAGAATAATCCATCTCATATTTTATGGTAGTAGCGATAGTATCATGCACGGTGGTACTTATCGCAACGCACCTGACCCAGGTGTCCGACTAACCCACGCGGATTATTAGGCCCAAACGGTTCTTCATCTTGAGGTTTGAAGCAACCTACATTACGATGAGATGGATCTTTAAAGAAATATGTGCCTCCGGTACCGTCCATTGCTAATACTGGTGCGAGACCCAATGCAAGACCTTGTAAAGCCTTTTTAAATTCGTATGATAACCGTTGCAGTGTAAACATGCATAATATAAGCAACAGTATTGAGTATGAGTATCTTATGACTGTATCATACCTGGTGTGTGACCTTCATCAGAGTAACTGGAAGTAGATGAACACCGTACGGGTGAATATTCACGACAGGTACCTGGTCTGGCCGCAAGTTCTTCGATATTCTACCATTCACGCGGGACAAAGCCGTATCATTAACCCCAATACAACGACTCTTCTCCTTGATTGTACTACTATCGTATCCCCCGTCATAATCATGTATGTCCAGGTTCTGTGGTTTTCGTGCCACAAAATCAACAACAGCGTTGTCTTGATCAATGCCGCACTGTTGTAAATTATGTGCATTTTTCAGCTCTCGCCCTTGATAAAATAGCTTTTGTGCATTGGAAGGTACGTTAAAAACGACTTGGAGTTGATCTTTAACGTCTTTGATGCTTGCCCACGGACGCAATAAAAGTTTCTTACGACGCTCGAGTGGATCACGAAAATCTTTAATAAATATAACTACAGCTCCGTGACCTCTTTCAAGCCAGCCGCCAGGAAGTGATCGCGATGTCTTGACCTCGTCCAGCGGCATTGCTGGCGAAGTAGGCGGGCGGAGACGCGTGGAACACTTACCCTTTTCAGCCAATCATTAATCAATCTAGTCTTTGTAGTTTTTACGTACATTTGTGCGAACAAAATGTGAATGGAATTAGTCAGAAGATGTGAGGGATACTCGAACATTGAAGTTGTATAGCTTTTTGCTTACCTAGAAGACAAGCATTTAAAAATACTTGCCAAATATAGGGAAAATGCTCGCAAATTCTTCTTTGAAATCATAAAATACACAAAACTTTGCTTTAGAAAACTGTATCAATGTACAATTTGCAGATCAGGTCATGTATTCTATTGCCTAGTAACTCCTCTGAAGAATTTCATTAAACTAGATGAGTAATTCCAGCATTAATTATTTGATTAATAATCACAGACACGTGGAACTCTACTGCTCCGCACAGTGGGCGCATCATATGGTGCATCGCGACAAGAGTAGACAAACCTGAATAACTCCAGTACCTGGCACTTCTACTGGTGACTCATAATCGCCCATCTCCAGCGGCTAATGGCCAGGAGTTCACAGCATTATGGGGCGTCGACATGAAGATTTTTCATACGTCGGACCCAAACAAATATGTTAGGACTTTAACTGACAGCTGCAATCACATCTGGTAACCGCGGCATGTAGTCAATTACTCCTCGTTCCTGACTTGGCAAAGGTACGGTTTAAATATTATATCGCTGTCTTCTATCTCATTATGAAACCGTGGCTCACTGTCGCTTCTGCCTTCGGGATCAGCTCAAGGCACTTAATTATATCGCTGTAAGACAATTTATATACTCCCATGTCCTACACCAAAACTATTTTGGCTCTAGAAGTGCCTTAGTTCTCTAACAGAGGTGGGTCATGACGCATTAAAGCTGAACCAGAACAGAGGTGGGCGGCACAAACTCTTTCAACTTGCAGTCGGTTAATGGCTTTTGGTGTCCAAGCCACGATTGGAACAATATGAGGCCGCGTCTCAGAACCAAAAGTAAGATCAATTCACGTATGACGTCCTCCGCGTAATGCCTATTTATTTGATAGTCGCACATCGTACGTAATTGCATAAAGCTTCAAAACTAGTGATGACTTTCCATGGCTCCACAAAGTCCAAGACGTTGATGCTGGCAACCAACAACTTTGTATTGAAATCTCACTACCATAAAGATAGTCGCTTTGACCACGTTTCCACTATGTGGATTGATTTTGGCATTGTCAGTGAGGAAAGGTACAATGTGCTTCCTACATTGGCAAATGTGTGACAGCCCTGTGTCAACTGGAATTCGACGTTACGCTTGAATGGGGCTCGTCAGCCAACCATATGTGAGAGTCGAACCTTACACGCCACTAAGCCCAGAAAGGGGACACGCCGCATTTCATACAAAACTTCGAGAGAGGCTGGATAAACACGGCATCTTTCGGAAGGACCAAGAGATGGTCTGCTGCCACTGTAGCAGTGAAATGTTCAAATCCTTGAACAAAGCCAAGTAAGTCTAACTTTTCATTGATGGATGGACAATTTTGCGAGCAAACACTCGAACAGCTATTGCTTGAACGCATCCCATGTCGGAGACTACTTGTTCAGAGGTATTGCAGGTAAGTGCACATTTTCGCATGTGGCACCTTAACTTGTCACTACTAATGCAGCGTAATAATGCTTAATGTGATCACGTCTAATCCCCTTTTGAGAAAATTTCCCATCTTCGCTCTTTTTTAGCTAGACACTCGACATACGCGGCCTTACGGTGACCACTGATTGTCTCCTCATGAAGTCTTGGTTTTCGCGCATTCGGAATTGTCTTATCTGCAAATCTTCATCGCTGATGAGTGTTTACAGGCGAGAATTTATGGATGCGGACATTTGGTCGCCAATAACCTTACCCATTTAAAGCCAACAGAAGACAAGATCTCATCAAGCGCGTCTCGTTGCCCTCGGAGCAAATGGTCGAGTGTTCGGATTCCAACCCGACACATGACACTGTAACGGGGTTACACGTGTCCTTGTGTGAAAGGGCGGGTCGCACAATCTTGTGCGACCGTACATAGGAGTGTATTACACAATTATTGTAATAAAATAGTGGCATTATTAATTAGGAAAACCTAGGTTTTAGATATTGGCGGCTCTGCCGCAACTAAATTAATTAAATACAGTTTCGTTTTTGAACAGAATTGTTCGTTTGCGTTGGTAAGGCTTTATTTTTTTAAAGTAGCCGAATGCGATCTGCTACACTTGTATTGTTTTTTTGAAAGAAGGTAAGGTCGGTGACAGTAGCTTAGCTTCCTCTAAGCAAAGAGCGACGGCAGCCCCGCTGCACTTGGTAGCACTAGTAGTAACCTACGCCTGAATCGTGACGACTGATCCTTTGTGAGGATGGAGGAATACTCATATTTGCCCAGGTTGGGCTTAATAAGCTGATGTCCCTGCTGGCCCAGCCGTTGCGCAAGGGCTCGAGGCCATAACCGCGCACCTAGAGGCGTTTTCAGACTATAAAATTACTCTGTTAGAGCACTTACAGCAGAATCTTCAGCGTTGACTGCGTCTATGACGCCACCGTCGACGACGGATGATTCCTTCCGACCCAAGACGCTCATGTTGAGCGTTAAGACCTTCAAGGGTAAGGATGGAGAGAATCGCTTGCTCTGGACAAGAGAGGACGAAATGGCTTTGGCATACACCATGCTCCCAAACTAGCATCAGCGCGTGGCGCTTCGGTTGAAGCTGCGTTCCCCTCCTGGAAGGAGCTGTAGCGTCAACTTGTGCGAGTTTTCTCGCCGCCTAATCAGGCATATCGCGGGCGATCGCGTTTCCTTGCTGCCCGACAGGGCAAGAAGGATTTGAAAGCTTTGTCCAAGAGTTGACAACTCATATTGCCGGAATGGCAGCAGACCCTCCCCCCGAGGTGGTCGCAATGACCGTCTTTATAGAAAGCCTCCGCACTGGCATGGTCAGAATGGAAGTCTTCCGTGTGCATCCGTCTTCTTTTGAAGAAGCGGTGAACATGGCATTGAATGCCAAATTCAACTTCAAGTCGGCATTACTTGGTTGGAATGCACACCCTCAGAGCTCGTCGAGTGGACCTGATCCAATGGATCTCAGCTATGCTGAGAAGGAGGAGGGAGAGCCTCGAGCTGCTGGGCAGTGTGTAAACACCTGGCGGTGTTTTGTTTGTTGAGACACCCGTCACCTTTGGCCGGGTTGCCCCAGCGCGCAAGGCGCGTGAAGGTTCGTCGAACCGAAGTCTTGCTTCTAATCAACCTGATTTGTCGCGGGGAAACGAGAACACCCAGTAGGCGCAACTGGGGAGAACTGAGTTCTGTTAAGCCTCAAAGAGGTAGAGGGCAGCAGGGCCCAGCCCCGAAGAGCTGCGTGCTCTTGAACACGAAACGTGTGTGCAAGCCGGACTTGCTGGTCGTAAAAGCGACTGTGGAGGGCTTTTATGAGCCATAGACAATCCTTGTCGATGCTGGTGTGTTGGGCAATTATGCTCAACGCTGCACGATCGAAGGAAGTCAGCTGTATTCTGAGGCGCTGTTTAGTGACATCGTCACTGTTCGCTTAGCGATGAGGACTTGTGCCACTGATACCAAGGTCCCTGTGGACCTCGGTGTGAAGTCCTTTGACTTTGAATTCCAGGACGACGTCTCCAAAGACCCGCCGTCGGTCCTTCCTCCGGACCGAGGTGTGCGTCGTGAGATTGACTGATTCCGGAAACCAAATACTGCGTTACACGCCAATGGCTCCTGCCCAAAAAGCAGTGTGACGTCATTGACGGCCTTTTCCACGCGAAGCACGAGGCAGGAATGATGCGTTAGAGTAAGTCTCCTTATCCGACACCCACGCTTTGTGTCCGGAAGCCGGCAAGTGGCGTATCGTTCACGCTTATAATAAGCTAAATGCTACCACCATTCATGGTGCCTGTACAAGTGGACGAGCACATATGTGCGCACGTGTGAGACGTCTCAGAGAGGAAAACGCTATACGAATGCGGCATCGCCGCTGGCTGATCTTCCAGTACCCTCCGGGTGTTGACAGTCCGTGAGTATGGCTTTTGGGTTTGGCCTGCGGAAGGACTCGGCAGGCAGCACGGGTGTTATGGTCTTTGTGGACCGTTTGAGCAAGATGGCTAATCTTGCGGCAGTGCCGAACACCATCGACGGTGTGGGACGGCGACGCTGTTTAACGATCGTGTCTTTCAACAGCATGAGCTTCCGGAGTCAGTTGTCTCAGATAGATACCCGCGCTTAGTAAACGATACGGGTGATTCTCTATTCTTGGATCCGTTTTCTCATACTTGGTCAAGCCTTGGCTTTTTACGCTTGCGAATTAAGCAGGCTTTGCATTGACTAATTGAATTTCTTGGCCGTTCTCGCAATGCGTGCACTTTGGCTAATTTTGAGTTGCTTCGCGCGCTATTTGTACTCATCTTCGAAACCGAGATTAAAGATTTCGTTACCCAGAAATTTCATCATGAAATGATTTGAGAGCTCATCGGAAACATTCTTGATTGATTCAACTGACTTGGCTCCGATGATCATATCGTAGACGTCACATAGACTCATGACTTGATATCTTGGCAGACAAAAATGCACGAATTCGAAATGCATGCGTGAAACCCATCTTCACGAACATACTTGAAATGGCTTTGAACCATGTCGATGCAGCTTGTTTCACTTGATTCGGCTTTAAAATCAATTCGGGCTTGACACCTAGAGGTGGATAGATGTACACTTTGTCTTCCAGAAATTTATCCAAAGACACATTCTCAACACTAAGCTGGTGGATGAACATGCAGCGGGACTGCCGTAGATCTAAGCAAACCGATCTTACGTTCTTTCCAGGAATCAGAACGGGCGTAGCGGGTCACAAACCGCTACCTCCAAATACTAAGACCTTAAAAAAGGCAAGCGAGCACTTCTGTCCACAAACAAAACTTAATTTATTTGTTTTAGTTGTAGCAGAGCCGCAAATATTCGAAACCCTAGGTTTTCCTGATAAATATAGTGATACCTAATTAATATAACAAAACCTGATTTCTATAGAGATATGCATTACTACTGGCAATCCTGCCACGTGGTGGCTTCTTGTTGCGGTATGGCCACACCAATGTTTTATTACACCAACTTGTGTAATACACACCTATGGACGGTTGCACAAGATTGTGTGACCCGTTCTTTCGTACAAGGGTACATGTAAACCCATAACAGAACAGACCTAATGGCAACACAATGCCAAAAACACACGAATCGACTTCAAATTCGCAACCGAAGAGCACGACTCCGAATAATTTACTCCGTAGATTTGTCGATACCCCATGCCCCAAGTTGAGCCCTAAACCAATCATTGATTCTGTTTTGCTGCGCTTGATCGTGAAAACCCACTTAGTTCTGATCACCTACTTCCTTGGTACGTGTTTCACTGCAGTCCTTGTCTTTTTTTCGTCAAGTCCCTTTAGTTCTGCTTTGATGGATTCATTCCACATTTTTGACTTTGAAGATTTGAAAGCGTCTTGGTATATCGATAAAGTTTTAAGTGCACCACTTGCCTTTTCATATTAACACTTTGGCGGACGTTCTGTTGGTTCTTTTCGTGTCGAAGAAAAAAAAAACGATTCGGACCATGTAGTGTTCGAGAGTTTTGAGCTGATAACAGCACTATCAGGTCCAAAAATATTGAAGGACTATCAATCTTTCCAACTCCTGGGCAAAATGGCCCGATTCAGTTCCTGTTCACCTTCACCCAAATTTATTTGGACGTCGTCAATATTTTGATTCATCGTTATGAGGGCAGCTCTACCGCTCAGAGGTATGTTGGTTGTGTCGTCTCCAGTCGACAACGTTTCGAGTCGATCAAAATGGTTCTGTGATTCCATCATCTCTGTCGGACCGCACATATTGGAAAACTTGATCGTCACTAACAACTTGAATACGCCTGGATGTAGGTTATTCATATAGAATGTCAGCGCGAGTAAAATCAACTCTCTTAAATTTGAAGGTCCTCACTCGATAACCCTACACCTCATCCAAGTATTCCACAAACATGCATCGAAATGCTTTATGTCCAATTTCTCACGCTTTGCCTTGTCAATGTATGCGTAGCATTGAGCTCCAGAAACACTCATATTCAAGAGATCGGCTTCCTTTGAAAAAGATATGTATCCCGAATGGAGTCTTCTTAAAAAAGCAGCACTTGGAACTCGGTTGGTCTCGTAGACGGCCGTGTCCATCTCTTCAGCCCACAATTTCTTCTCCATTTGCATGTGGTTGATTATTGATCTTGCACGCTCCGTGATGGTTCTGTTCACATGTTCCGCCCTTCCGTTTTTTGGGGCGTATACGGATTCGTGGCTTGATGAACTTCACTCGTCGTCGTCATCTCTATCGTCGCTATCACATGGATCCTTCATCTTGAATCCGTCGACATAACCTTCGAGGGTCTTCATGCTCGTTATTGGCAGATGTCCCAACTGGGGATGCCACAGAGTGGGACTCAATGGCTTCGTTTCTGAACCAGCCTCTTCACCAAGGTTAACTGACTCCGCTGAAATACACTTATCACAAACAACTTGCCCTTTTGTGTTCTGAGTCACAGCATCTTGACCATTCTAATTCTCGCACAACACGTTATCGAAAGTGATGTGTTATTCATTCGCTGATAAATCCGAGATTGACATAAGACTTCGATCCAATCTGAAACGTACAGCACGTTTTCAATCGGAATTGGTGTCTTGTTCTTCAAAGCGACTCGAATGGTCCCGACTCCGGCCGCCAAAACATTGCTACCATTCGCAACTGAAATGGCGATTGACTAATTGAGTGGACAAACTTCCGTGGCTTCGTCTTGAGATCAACACGTCTGACTACTCGAACCACTATCCAGAAGCCACCCTTCCGAATAGTCTTTCGATACCGTGAACGCTTGTAGTCGCTGTTTGACCTCTTGTTCTCTGGATTCATCCGGTAGTCTTGCTTATTGTATCCACACTTCTGGCAGAAATAGCTCTTTCTCGTGAGCTTGCCTTTACTACCCTTTGTTCGGGGACCCTTGCCCCAAACGCGTTACCTTCAGAGCAATTTCGTTGCTCTCGTTTTGAGCTATGTTATTTTTTACAGATCCATATTCTTTATATTTTTGATGATAAAGGGTATAATTCTTTTCTTAAATACCGTATTTCACAAAATAAAAGCCACTCAAAAAGATCACCTTTTTCTGATTTTCCTTGACCTCTTAACATTAAGGTGATTTTTGCTTAACAAAAAAATCACCACATGGGTAATGACCAAACAAAAAAATCACCACGGAGTCCGCACTCTAGTTTGGCATCATGAAGAGATTCCTGCTATCGAATCCTGCGAATCAGAAGTGGGTGGACGCCCAAGAACACAGGAAACGCGGGCAAGACCTCGTTGAATCTGTCGCTCGCCTAGTTCGTCGAGAAATGTTCCCGGAGTTGCATTTGCAGTCACTACAGCCACTTGTCCAGCCGAACTCCACCAACAGCCGAATACCTAGTGAAATTATAATTGAGGA